TTTCTCTCCCCCATCTTCTAGAATGTCATCTTTATAGCTTCATCTCTGTTGGGTGTTAGGGGAATGGCAGGTGGTTTGATGTGGTTCCTAATCTTGGGAAATGGCCTGTGAGCCTTAGGCCCACAGGGTAACAGGTCATCCAGAGGTATGGTAAAAGGCCTGCTCCTGCCCAGCACATGGTGAGGCTGCATACGCTGGATGTGCTGGTGCCAGCTTGGAAGCTCTGGATTTTCTGGAAGTCGCAGAGTAGTCTGTTCTTCCATGTGTGGGCTGAACTAGGTTCTAGCCCTTTAGCCCAACCACTGCCCTGCCCCCTCTGTGTCCACCCCATTCTTAGGACCCTGATAGGTGGTGTATGGGTGGGCAGAGACACCATAGCAGCTGTTGATGCCTCTTCTTTCCTCTTTGAAGGATGCTGCTGCCGATGAGGGCTACTTCATCTATTAAACCCAATACACTTGTCGCAGCTGCTAAGCCCCCGTAAGCCGCCGGGCGCCGTGTTTGTGATGGGACTGACAGTGCATGGAGGAGGCTGATTATACACGATTCCATTTCGCGGGCCCAGCAATGTAATTTCACAGGGCGATCAGCGTTTGCATGTAATAGCAGGCTGTGCTGAGGTGTCAGAATATTAAAGGCGCTAATGGCAAAGCTCCCTGTTACACAGGGGGCCACCCGCCGCGCCTACAGCAGGGCTGTGCGGCAGGCCCGTCGCAGATGGCTGGCCACTAAGCTAATGGGGCAGCAGCCAAGGCAGGCAGAGCCACGAGAGGGGAGAGCCAGGCGGGAACAGCTCGGCACCTGCTTCCCTGCGCATGGAAATTACAGCAGCCCAGGGGAAGGGAAATGCACGTGCCTGCCTAGCACAGGACTGGGGTGGGCTGGTGTGCTAGGCCAGCCTCTTTCACCTCAACTCCACCCGTCCTAGTGGCTCAGCACCAGTACCTGCCCTGTACAGGATCCAGGAGCTCCTCAGTCTCCACCTGCCATGCTCTCTGGCCAGGAACCCCAGTGGGTAGGTGCTGACTGCACCACTGGGCAGGTGGGCCCTGATGCTGGGCAGGTGGGCCCTGATTGCTGAGAGAGGTGCAGCTGGAAAAGTGGCACCCAGAGTTTGGAGCCAGCGCTGGGAAAGAGGCTCAGGCACAAGCTCATGGAAAGAACTCTAAACAGATTCCTGCCCCATACTGATCAAGGTCAGAGAGCTTCTGGGCCCCTTTCCCCGCACACCCCACAGGCTGGCAGGAGTGAGCAAGGGAGCAGGGAGAGGGAGCAGAGTAAAGGGCTGAACACAAGGCCCACTGGTGGCTGCTTTGCTGTTGGCATGTGGAGTTGGAAGGCAGTGCCTTAAGATGTTGCTCCTTCTCTCTAAGTTGACTGCCCCAAGCCCTTGTGCTCACTCCTGCCACTCTCCTTTGTCCTTGCTGAGACTTCTGTCTGGAATGTTGCACTCTCCTATCATCTGTCAGATGCTCCTGGCCCTCTAGTACCACTCCCTCCAGGAAGTTGTCCATGCCCACATGGCCTTGTTGTCTTCAGTGTCCCCACTGCAGGCAACCCACAGGACTCAGCCTCCCTAATCCCCCTGCTCTGACAGTCCCTGGGTACTGGCCTTGACTTCTCAGCTAGAATCTCTAGGCATAACCCATATCACCTTGCCCTGAGCTGGACTCCCAGGAAGGGCTCTCCTAAAACGTGTAGACAGATGTAATCTCTTAAGGAGAGCGTGTAGAGGGAGCAAGGAATGAAAGGACAGGCAGAGTCACCTGAGAGTCTGATGCATGTGTGGTGTGCCGCATATATGTGGTCGGGCCACGTTGTGGTCTACATATCTGAGCGGGAGGGGCATGGGCTTTAGAAGTGAGTGCCGGGGTGGTGGTGTGTGGGTGCAGGTGCAGAGGGGCAGTAGGTGGGAGTATGTAGACCATACAAAGTTTGCTGTAGGATCCTCTGTGTTCTCTAGGTGGCTATCTGTGTCTGTGCTGTGCCTGAGGGGTACTCGGGATGACAGGAGCTGAGGGAAGCTTGACGTGCTGGGCCCCCGACACTGTGCCTAGGGTGGTTCCACGAAGCTGGTGGTTATGTCTGAAGGTTAAGCTCTGCAGGGGTGTGTGTCGGTACCTGGGGGAGACGTGCCAGGGTTCTCAGCAGGGCAGCAGGGGGAGAGCCCAGGCTGAAGGAGAGCAGTTTTAATTAACCGTTTTTAATATCATTTTGGACTTTGGCTGGTATGTGAAAGCCCCGCTGGAAGCAGCATTTGTAAAAATTAAATCCCTCTTATTAGGAGCTTGGCAGACCCATGTGCACGCGCCACTCCTCCCCCCACCCTATACCCCCCTGAGGAAGTGCTGGATGAGGCCATGTCACGGTAGCAATTGGTTATCACGCCTTATCTGGGAATATGAAACTGTGCGGCATGACACCCGCGGCCGCAGTGGAGACGCCAATTCATCTCGCCCTCGCTCTGACAAGCTAGACTGCCCTTCCTGAAAGGCATCCGTCAGGCGGGACCAGGCTGCTGCCTTGCCTGGCACCTCCGCTTTCCTGCCAGGGACTCCAGCTTGCCCTGGCCCAGCCTGGCCCTCCTGGGCTCTGCTGCCCTCCATACCCCTCCCGCTCTGCCCAGTCTGCAGAAGATCTTGGGGAGTCATAATTACAATAATAATCTAATCATGGTGATGCGCGGGGCAAGCATCTAATGTTATCTGAAGTGGTCTTCCCGCTTAGCTGCGATAAGACTCAGGATGACGTGCAGATAACGCTGAGCTGCCCTGTCCCCGAGCTGCAAGCAGAGCGGAGGGGCCTCAGCAGCCCTGCCGCCCGCCCGCCGCTTTAAGCCGGGAAGCGGCAGCACCTGCTAATGCAAGTGTTTAATATTTGATGGGCTGGGATAAAGCAGGATCACCTTCGAATTGAATTGAGTGTCAGCCGAGAATCTATTACTGAAATTCGGGTGTGATTTGACAGCAAAGTAGACGATGTTATTCTTCACTAGTTACTGCAATCTTCTCCCCGACATCACTTAAATATTTTTTTCTTTGCTTGAGTAAACACACATTATCCTTCTTTTTTCCCCCTTCCTTCCCTTTTTCCTTTTTAGAGGGGAAAAAAAAAAACCATCCAGCTCGCCTCCTCCAGGCTGATAGAGTAGATTGTTATTTCTTTATTTGTCCTATTAAATGGAATTTCTGATCGTTTAATCCGGCCTTTGTAAGTGATTTTAAAGTACTTGAAAGGCGGCCGCCACTGCTCTCTGGCCCACTGCGCTCCAGCCTCAGCCCTGACCAGGCTCAGCAGCTCTTCCAGCTGTGCACCGCCCACTGGCTGCTTCCCTTGCTGCCTGCGTCCCGCTCTGCCCTGGCTCTAGGCCAGCGTCTTCTCCCCTGTCCTTGAGCCTCACACTCAGCCCCCGATTTGTGGGTTCAGCTGTGACCTAGGAAGAGGTTGGCTGGGAAGTTGGGCTGCGGCTGGTACATCTGTGGTCAAGGAACATGGCTTTGGAGGGTGCTGAGGTTTCAGGACACTGGCCTCTAGCCTTCTAGTCCCCACAGTGCTGACGGGTTGGTTAGTTTCTGCAGCTGGGAAGGAAGGGTGGACAGAGTCTGTGCCCTGGGCTTTGGCACAACCCCTGTGCCCAGCTTCCTGGCTTGTGTTTCTGACCCTATGCTGGGCCCTTGCCCCTCTGTGTTAGTGGGATGGGGACCTCCTGGGCCTCAAAATGGGCTGGAGCACCGTAGTGCCCATCTGACCATGGCTGGCAGTCACTTTGGTTCCATCACAGGATGCTGTCACCCTCTCCCCCCACAACTTCTAGAATTCACCTAAGCTTCATTCTTATTGATCACTGTCCTTCCCACTGTCCTGACAATGGGAAAAGGGCAGCCTGCTTTTTGGGGACTTCAAAAGTGAGGGGATGGGTAATGTTTGAAGATTCAACTAGCTGCCAGGCCCACTGGTAGAAGCCCAGGACTTTGTTAGCAAGATAAGCTGGAATCAAATTCTGTTTGGCCACTTCATAGCATTCTAAGCCATGTAAGTCTCTTCTTTCTGGACCTCAGTTTCCTCATCTGTGATGTCAAGTCAGTCGTGCCTGTAAGAGAAGGTGCTGTCCTCTTCCTGCCATGTGTCCCTCAGGTGGAGGTTGCTGGCAGGTGGAGGGAGGGGATGGAGGGGGGGGCAGCGTAGTGCTGGGGGCCTGAGCAGATCGATGCCCCCAGCACTTCCTTCCCCAACCCCAGGAAAACAATTAAGTACAGATCGATGGGTGGCCGCTTTGAATATGCATAAGTGAGCACTTGACCTTCAGCAGAGCATCTGCTCCCCCCACCACACACACACACACACACACACACACACACAACATACACATACACCACACACACACACACACACACACACCCTCATGTACTCCCCTCACAGCTGCTTGAGTTGAGCAGGTGACCTTACTCCACGCCTCAGTTGAGCCCCCACATGACACACAGAGACTTCCATAGCCAGGCCTGCTCAGGGCCCTGGCTTTCATATTCCTATCTCTAGAGTGAAGTTTGGATATGCTGGACTCCAAGGTGCTTCCTGAAGCCAGACTTGGTGACCAGTAATGCCGTGGGGAGGGAGCCCAGCAAAGTGCTTGGGGCTCTGGAGAGGGGGGAATCTAAGGGGCCTGCATGGTGAAGGGGGTGCCCTGGTGAGAGGAGGGCTCCTGATGAGGAAGATCCTAGTCACTGGGAGCTCTCTAGAGAGGAGCCCTGATAAAGGGTACTCCATGAGGGCTGAGGGCTAGGGACTTGGTTGGGAATAAGCCCTGGAGAAAGGGAACTCTGGAGAAGGAAGGGATTTTTTGCTAGGGAGTGGCAAGGGGACCCAGCGAGGGGACTCTCACAAGGTAGCGTTATGAGAATAAGCCCTTGGTGGGAAGATCTGGGGGTGGGGGGAGACCTGGTGAGTATGGTTGGTTCAGGGATCAGGGCCTCTGTTAATCACTCTTGCCTCCTGTCTTCCAGGCTTACAGCTTCGCCATGGGCTGCTGGCCCAAGAATGGACTTCTAGACATGAACAAGGGCCTCAGCCTGCAGCACATAGGTCGGCCCCACAGCGGCATCGGTCAGTCCCTTCGAATATCCCCCTGGCAGCTTGGTCAGTCCCCTGCCTGCCTGCCCCAGTCTTCTGGCACGCAGAGGGATTCCATGGCTCGTTCACTGCCCCAGCAGGGCTCTCTCCATAGCTGGGGAGTGGGAGAGGGGTGGAGTGAGGGGATTACTGAACAGGACCACTGGAAAGCACCTCTCAAAACATTTCCGAGGAGGTTGGGGTCTTGGCTTTGGGTGAGTCACAGGTGGCCTTGGATTCAGGCCAAGGTTCCCTCTCACTGGCTGCATCCCTAGTGGGCAGTGTCCTCACAGGGTGGGCACATGTCAGCTTACCCAGCCCCCATGGAGCTGGAGGAGGCTGTTTAATATTGTTTCAGGTCTGTGGCCACTAAACTGGACGATCAATGGGAGTTAAGGAGATGAATTATTTAAACCTCACCAGCTTTTAATTAGTCGGGGTCCTTCTGACCGATGGCTCCGTCCACAGGGTATTGACTCCCCCTCAGGAGCGGCAGCCTCCATTGAGCGCTGCCTGGGTTGGGAGGGGCCACTTGGGGTACCAGGTGGGGGTACACCCTCAGGGGGATTCCTAGTTGGTAGGAGAATGGAGTGGCTATGATTCCAGACAATTGGAGGCTCTGCTAGCTTTTGATACATCAGTATGAATATGTGTCTGTCTGTGAGTATTTGTATGTCTACATATGTGTGACACCATTAGCTAAATGTCTCTAAGAGTGTAATGCGTCTATAATTATATTAATATGCGTCTGTTTAAAGGGGGTGTGTGTATGTATAACAACGTATCCGTATTTTTCTGAGGGCATGTGTCTGTTTAGGGAAACAACCACCGGCCTGTGTGTATCTGTCAGAAAGTGTATCTGTTCGTTTCTGTCTCTTATTTTGTTTGCATACGCACATGTGTGCATGCAAATACTGTCAAGTGGGGTACTTGACCAGGGCATAGACTTTTTCCAAGTGAGGAGGAGCTAGGGTATTCCTGGGTGGTGCTGCAACATTATTACAACCTGCGTACCTTTGGGTAGGTATCATTATGGGGACTGGAGAGATATACCCGAAGGACCTAGGAGTAGCCCCTTTATCCATTCCACAGACATTCACTGGTACCTAGTGGGTGCCGAGCATGCTGAGTAGAAGTTCCTGTCCTCAGGGAGTGCATATCCTGGACAGAGACAGAGAATGAAACAGGCGCTTGCCACCCAGGGGACTAAGGGCTGTGATAGAAGCACCTGCATCTCCCCAGGGGAAGTGTTCCCTGTCCTCAACTGCCAGGGTAGCTTTTGCTTCTTCAGTTACATCTCACTGACTCCTGGGATGCCCCATATCATTCTTTTTGGGACATCCCAAGGCTCTTCTGAGGTCCAGGATAAAAGAGGAAGCAGTCAACAGGCCTGGGGAACTGGGGGTACTCCACTGGAACTGCTGTTCCCCCCCATAGAAGTTCTCCATGCAACTTAGAGATGTGCAAGGTGATGTGCCTGGGAGATCAGCAGGAAGTTTCCTAAAGAAGAGAACACTTGAGTTGGGATCTTTGAATGATGAATAGGAGCTTGCTAGGCAGAAAAAATGTAGGGGTATTTTAGGCAGGAAGACTATGTGTACAAAGACCAGGGGGGCATGAGGGCCAGTGTATTGAGAAAACAAGTTCAGACGTCTATAAGTAGTTTCCTGTGACTGGAGTGGAAAATTTGGGTTTGGGAACAGCTAGAAAATAAAGACGTAAGCAGGGCCTTGAATGCTGCATAGTTAAAGGGTGTAGATTTTTCCTGAGGTTTTGAGGTGATATAGGAAGTTTGTGAACAAGAGAATGATCAAAGCTCTGATGCAGAATCAATGAGAATGTTTGTGCTGCACAAAACTAGTTCTTAGTAGGTGCTCAATAAATGCATGTGGATGAATGGATGAATGGGTACATGGCTAAATGAATCCATGAAAGAGGGATGGGAAAGGGAGGGACCAGAGAGAGAGAACCAGTGAGAAGACTTGTTTTGTTCCAGGGGAGAGGGACCTGTTAGTCCTTGAGTCTGGCTGGTGGGAGGGAGAGTGGGACTGGGTTAATGCACCCTACATGGCCTTGATATGGGTGCCCTGCTTCTGTGTGTCTGTCCCAGGGAACCCCTTTGTGAGAAGATACATGGACACACTCTTGGTTCCTCTTGAGACTCAGTGATGCCCCTCCTGTCTGTTCACCCTGTTGACCCTGGGTTAGGATCCCTGAGGTAGCCCTTCCTCCTTCAGAGAAGAAAGTTTCTCCACCTGGGTGGGCCCCATAGGGCAGCCCAAGGCTTTGAGTGACAGTGGAGCAAGGGCTTTGGAGCCACAGGAAGTTCTGGCTCCACCACCAAGGACCCTGTGACCTTAGATGAAGGACAGTGCCACCTGCCTTTCAGGGCTGTTGGGAAGGTTCCACAGATCAGCTGTGTAAAGAGCTTGTGCAGTGCCTGGCACATAGTGGGTGCTCAAGGAGCTCCCTCCTCTCGTGCCTTTGCCAGCACCAGGGCTCCCTGGGGGGTTCTTGGCACTTGGTCTTTGTAGTCTCTGAATGAAGAGGGCTGCCCTGCCAGCTCTGGCTGCCTCCGAGGTGTGGGTGAGGGTGCTTGGAAGGGAAGGAGGATGCAGGGCATTAATTGGGCTGGGAGAGGCGGGGAGGGGAGGCGTGGGTTTTGAGCAGTGAGGTTAATGGCCCTCGCACCAAAGAGACAGCTTTAATGAGCTTCAGCTGGCGGTGCCCCGAGTTACTGTGCGTGCTAAAAGGGTCGCGCTGTAAGAGTTTGATGTGGACTGCTTCCCAGCCCTGGGGTCAGGGGTCAGCTCCTGTCACTGGCCACTCAGGCTGGTCCTCAGTGACATGGTGCTAATTAACTGTGTGAGGAGCTGCCAGCCTGGAGTGGGGAGTGGTATGTATATTGGTGGGGGGTGAGGCGCACTGGGTGATGCTGGGTGAGGGTTCTGCAGATCCCACAGCTTAGCCATCTCCAGAATCTGCTTGGTTCCTGCAGTGCCTCGGGAGGGTGGCATGGGTGGTGTGGAGGTGCCAAGAGAGCAAGGAGGCCAACTAGCTGGAGTGTTGGGGTGACAGGTGCAGGGCAGGGGACCAGCTGTAGAAGTAGAGAGGGCCGGTTGGCATGGTGGTGCATGGCAGGCTGAGATGTTTGGGGGCAGCTGTGGGAGTGTTTGGGACAGGGAAGTGACTTGGTCAGAGTTGGGCTTCAGTCAGTTCAGTCTGGTAGTTAGCAGAGGAAGGCCTTGTGAGGAGAAACTACAGGCAGGGAGGCCAAAGGAAAGGTACAGTAAGGTAAGCAAGAGGTCATGGTTAATTCAGAGCCAGGATAGTGGCTGTGGAAATGGAGGCCATGAACCAGATAAAACTTTAATTCAATACCTGTCACCTTGTACCTCTATATGTCAGGAACTGCACTAGGTGCTAGCAATGTATTGGTAAAGATGATGGCCACAGGGCTCACAGGTGGGCTTGGCCTTGGGCACCGAGAGAGAGGTACGGTTAGGAATGGCCATGGAGGGTCCAGAGGTGGTGGAGTGCTGGGCAAAAAGGCTGTTGGAGGCTTGTCAGTGAGGTATCTGACGGGAGGGACACATCCTCCTGGGGTAGTGGATTGGCCTTGTCAGCCTGGTGAACAGGGTGGTACCGGAGCGGGTTGTGGGTGAGGAAGGACTGTATGTTTAGAACTGCTGACTTCCAGGACTGCCAGTGGGTGCCGTCAGCATCCTGGGTTTGGGCCCAAGGCTCTGAGGCAAGGCAGCTTCCATGGGGGACCGCTCAGTGTTCCTTCTGTCATTTCAGCAAAGGGTCAGCAAAGCATTCACAATATTTTAGGGCACTTTATATTAGCTAATTTAATTTTCATAACAGTCGTGTGAAATGAAGGCATGCATCATCATTCCTGTTTTATAGATGAGGCTAAGTTCAGTGACTTGCCTAAAGTCACACAGCCAGTTGAGTCGAGGAGCCAGGATTCAAACCGAAGTCCATCGAGTACAGAGCCTGTGTTCTCATCACTGTGCTGAACTACGATATACCTTTTTGGTATCAGGCTTTGTGCTACCGACAGAGATGATGTGGAAGAAAACAAGCTCACTTCCCTCATGTCCCTCAGCATCATGTGAAACACACAGCCCTTGACAAAGCCTCAGTAGCAGCAGCCGAGGGAGAGGGAAAGGCGACATTGCCACTCCTTCACCCTCTTACAGTTGCCTTCAGAGCCAGGGTTCTGGGCTATTAGCACTGACCTCCTTCTGGCCCTGACAGTTCTATGTGATTTTGGTTTGCTCTCCACCTCTTGGCCCATCTACCAGGGGCCACCGCCTCTGGGAATCTGGCCTGGCCCCCCCAGTGTGAATATACTGAATACACACTGGAGTCCTATTGTAATTTGTTGGAGGTAACAATTTGGCCCTTACATACTTGGGTTCTCTAAGGGCAGGGCCTGAGCCTCCTTCCCTTCTTTCTTTCTGGAAATATGCACAGGAAATGTCAGTAAAATGTTAACTGTTATTGTGACATGGAGGCCCCAAAGACTGCTGGTTTCACTGGCTGGGAGAGTAACTGCAACCTTCCCTGACGCCCAGCTGTGTGGTCCTGCCTTTGGAGCTTAGCCCCTCTGCTCCAGGACTGAGGAGACCCCTCTGAGACCTGTGGTGCAGGTGGCATGGCCAGAGACCAAGTGGACTCTCACAGAAGTGTGCCACCCAGGATAGTTTGGCAAGAGTGCTGGGCTGGCAGGAGGCAGGGTGGAGGCTTGGCCCCCGGAGGGGGCAGCACTGGCCTGTGGTCTCCCCTGAAGGAGTGGGGTGTCTATCAAGAGTCCAGTCAGAACGCATTAGCTCTGTGACACAGATCTCATTAGTGCCCGTGAGAGGTGTCACTGCGGGAGAATCGTCGGCTCAGGGAGACGCTTGTACCAAAAGGAAGAAAGGACAGTGACAGCCTTTTCTCTGCCGCCTCTGCCGCCACGCTCACTGGGCCGCCCGCCCTCC